TTCCCTTCCCAATGACAAACTTGGAGCTGGGGACATGTCAGGTCCTCAAGGAATAAATACTTCCTGAATCTCTGAATTGAGTCTGATGGAGGAGTCCTCACTGACTGCAAGATGAGGCCAAGAACCTAAAAGGGACTGGGGAGAATGGACTGTGGGCAGCAGGGAAGATAGCAGGCCTCCTGGGCTGGCACCTGGGAAGCCTGAGTTGGAATCTCGGCTCCAGCCTCTGTGACCCCAACCGTGGTCACTGTCAGCGTCTTGGTTACTTTATGGGGCTCCTGTGAGGAGGACCCAGTGAGGCCACTGTGCAGAGCCACCTGCAAGGCCTCTGTGAGCCAAGTGCTGCTCTCAACAGTCAGGGCATGGACTCACTCTCCCTGCACGCCAATTCTGTGAGGAGGCAACTACGTTATCTCCCTTCACGGAGAGGAAACTGAGGCACGCAGAGGTGAGGAGGCTGTTAGGGCCAGGTGGCGGGTGGGCACCCTGCAGCCCTGCGCGCTGACCTGCTGGCAACGTCCTCCTCGGCGCCCGTGTCCAGCACGCTGCTCAAGTTGTGCTCGGCCTGAGTCTCCTCGGGCACCTCCTGCAGCGCCTCGGCCTGCCTCAGGGAAAGGCGGTAGTTCTCCAGCTCAATCCGCTCTGGGGTGCCCCTCAGCCGCTTGGCGATGCTGGGCTCCTCCAGGCCGTTCACGCCTGAACCTGCAGGACAAGCACAGAAGCACCGCACTGAGCTCCAACCACAGACGGGGAGTGGGGGTGGGGGCTGACACCCAGGCTGTGGGCCCTCCTGCCAGGACATGGGGCAGGCCGAAGGCCAGAGCATTCACGGAGTTGCCACAGGCCAGAAGAGGACCCTGGCGTGAGAGGGGGAATTTCGCTATATAGGAGGAAGGAAAGCGGCCCTGTCTGCCCTCTAGGTCAGGGCGTTCTCTCTCCTTCATCACCCTGAACCCCGGCCCCCAGAGGGGAGACACAGTCTCCCTGCAAGGGTGACTGGTGGTGAGGGGTGTGGGACAGACCGCAGGCAGCCAGGAGCCAGGTGCCCCTGAAGCAGCCTTGCCTGAGAAGGGCATCCTCAGTGCAGCCTGCCCCAGGGATCCAGGCCCCCACCAGGTTCACGCCCCACCACAGCCTGCCCCAGGGATCCAGGCCCCCACCAGCTTCACGCCCCCGCCACCTACAGCCTGCCCCAGGGATCCAGGCCCCCACCAGGTTCACACCCCCGCCACGGCCTGCCCCAGGGATCCAGGCCCCTATCAGGTGCATCCCCCACTGTGGCCTGCCCCGGGATCCAAGTCCCCACCAGGTACGTGCCCCGCCACTGAGGCGGCCTGGCCAGCTGCCTGCAGAACGTCTCACACTGAGGATCTGTCTCCTCACGGTTAGATAAAGCACTTTCTGTTTCATAAGGCCACGTGGGTGATGCTGCCCCTACTGCAGCACCGCTGCTCAGAGGAAGGACACCAGGCCTGACCGCTCACAGAGGTGGCGCCCAGGCCTCTCTCCAACGCACAGGCACACTTCCCCATCAGTCCTCCGTGGGTGATGCCCAGAAGCCACGGGGTGCCCTGGCTGCGTCCTTTCACCCTGTGGTTTCAGCATCATTGGCGACCTCGGCCTGAGTCCTTTGTGTGCGCGGGGGTCACACCAGGTGATTTTAAAATCCCATCACTCTGGCCGGGCACAGTGGCTCACGCCTGTAATCCCAGTACTTTGGGAGGCTAAGATGGACGGATCACAAGGTCAGGAGACTGAAACCATCCTAGCTAACAGGGTGAAACCCTGTCTTTACTGAAAATACAAAAAATGAGCTAGGCCTGGTGGCGGGCGCCTGCAGTCCCAGCACTTTCAGAGGCCGAAGCGGGCGGATCACGAGGTCAGGAGATCAAGGCCATCCTGACTAAAATGGTGAGACCCCGTCTCTACTAAAAATACAAAAATTAGCCAGGCAAGGTGGCGGGCGCCTGTAGTCCCGTACTACAGTCCTGTACTCGGGAGGTTGAGGCAGGAGAATGGCGTGAACCTGGGAGGTGGAGCTTGCAGTGAGCTGAGGTGGTGCCAAGATGGTCTCGATCTCTTGACCTTGTGATCTGCCTGCCTCGGCCTCCCAATGTGCTGGCATTACAGGCATGAGCCACTGTGCCCAGCCTAATTTTTTGTTTTTTAGTAGAGACGGGGTTTCACTGTGTTAGCCAGGACGGTCTCTATCTCCCGACCTCGTGATCCACCCACCTCGGCTTCCCAAAGTACTGGATTACAGGTGTGAGCCACCTCGCCCAGCTAATTTTTTGTATTTTTAGTAGAGACGGGGTTTCACCGTGTTAGCCAGGATGGTCTCGATCTCCTGACCTCGTGATCCGCCCGCCTTGGCTTCCCAAAGTGCTGGGATTACAGGCATGAGCCACCGTGCCCTGCCTAATTTTTTGTTTTTTATTAGAGACGGGGTTTCACTGTGTTAGCCAGGATGGTCTCTATCTCCTGACCTCGTGACCCACCCACCTCAGCCTCCTAAAGTACTGGATTACAGGCGCCCGCCACCACTCCCAGCTAATTTTTTGTATTTTTAGTAGAGACGGGGTTTCACCGTGTTAGCCAGGATGGTCTCCATCTCCTGACCTTGTGATCCGCCCACCTTGGCTTCCCAAAGTGCTGGGATTACAGGCGTGAGCCACCACGCCCGGCCGTGTTACCAGACCTTTAAGGAGGCAGAGAAGGGGCAGAGGTGCCGGAGGGAGCAGGTCATGACTGGCCTGGCATCCTGGCTGGGCAGGTTACCGATTCCTACAACATTCTAAGCTCTAGGAGACAACGCTGGGTTTTGGCATGCCACATCATACAAGCCAGTGTTGAGAGACAGGTGGTCCATCAGGCAAAAACCGGCTAAAGGAAAGCAGCGGGTGATTTAGCAATTTTCTGTGACAGGCTGTGCGTGAAGTGTTTTCTGAAAGCCTGCACTTCTGTCGTGTGCAGTGTTTGAACGTCTTTGTGGCGGCCTCAGAAAGAGCTTTTAATGAACCCCGGCAGTCACCGGATAAGGTCTTGGCACATCTGTTGGAATTACTGGCATCCTCCAGTAAATAGCATCTTTCAAATTTACTAGAGAATCTTTACTAGAAAAGCAAGATCCAGTGGCGTATTTATATACAGATTCAGGTAATGGTGTGATGAAGGGGCAAAACACGAATACCTGGGTTCACTGGTGCCCTGTACCTGTGCCCACCTGTTTGAGCCTTTGGCTCCTTGGTGGGGGTCTTTTCTAAACATCACTGCTCCATTCTCCAACACTGAGCTCAGGGCACAGAAGAATATGCTATGATGCTGGGCTAGGGCATCTGGAAGGTGAGGGAATGTGCACTACAGGTAATGCAGAAAACAGGCAGAGAGCAACTCTGACACATCCGGCCTCAAGTTTCTCCAGACCTGCCCTCCCAGGCCCCGGGAGAGCAAAGGCCCTAACTGCACCAGCTCCTCATCCCCAAATACCAGTCTTCCCATCCTTCCTTCTCATCAAAATCCACAGCCTCCCCATCATGAAGGGGAGAGGCCTGAGGATACCCTGACTGCGGTGCCATTCGATTCTTTCCATCATTTATTTTTGACAACTGCCACTCAACGGAAAGCAGATGAGAAAGGGAGATCAAGCAACTACCCAAGAATCAGCTTTCTGGGAATTCCATAAACACGGAATAAAAAGGATATTTCTTTCAGATGGGAGAAGAAAAACAGGGTAAGAACCATCACTTCCGGGAAACGAGCAACAATTCAGATGGAAGCGATTTTACAGTAGAGTGAACAAACACTCAGGAAGGAAAACATCCAAGAGATGTCTGTTTGGCGTGGGTAACTCACACTGTCTGGCAAGCATGCTACTAGGACCATGGAAAACAAAGCAGATTAAAACACTCTCTACTCTAAAAGAGCTGCAGGCTAGCAGAGGGTCCTGTAGAAATCATTTCAGTCCAACGTGTCGAGTACCATGAGCGAGTATGCACGTGGTCCCAAGGGAGAACACAGAGAAGGTGAGTGAGCACGCCTGGTAGAGTCAAGAAAGGTGTTCCGGAGGCATATGGAGTTAGCCAGCTGCAAGATAAATACATTCTGTGAGGCACTGTCATTTGCAAATGAAGTAACTGAAGTTCACACAGCTAGTGAGCCCTGGAGCCAAGATCTGAACCTGAGGAGGAAAGGCATCACTCAGGAGATCACCATGCTGTCCCTAGACTGACAACAGCCCTAGCCTTCCCCTTTGGGCATCTTCACCACTGTCTCCTCCCCGCTGTAATTTTCCAGGTGAGGGACACAGCACTTCACGCAGGCTTCTTGGAGCAGAGAATCTGGCATCTGGAATGACAGGCACTCAGTTTTCCCACTGTTACTGCCCTGGAGATTCTGCAAACCCCGCAGACCGATGGCTTGTCAGGCAACGGCACGTGGCAGTCCAAGCCCAGGGCCGGGGCTCTGGAAGGGGAAACGCTGATTTAATCTGGGGCTTGGCTACAACCCACAAAAAAGAAACCAGAAGCTCTGGGAACCGTGCAGGTCCTTCACACGCCAGTCCCCGGAGAAAGCCTGCGGAAACGCTGCGCGGGGGACGGTGGAAAAGGGGAGGTGGGAGGCCAGCTGCCTCTCCTGT